GGGGGGGGGGGGGGGGGGGGGTGCCAGCGGGTTAGCCAGATCTATTCCAGGGGCAGATCTATTCCAGGGGAGGGAGGTGTTGAGACACGGTGTTGAGACACGGTGTTGAGACACGGTGTTGAGACATGGTGTTGCAGAGCCCGGGAAAAAACTTTTTTGGACAACAGCTTACTGCCGAACTTCTTTTTCTATCGACATGTCCGACACCACCGATCTGTCCATCAACTATTGCGACCCCCACTCGACCTTCTTTGGGTTCATGGGCATTGCCGCAGCAGCTGTCTTCTGCAGTAAGAATTTATCACACTTGGGGCAGACTCGGACTGGTCACTACGGATGGACTAAAGCTGACGACTATTTCTTCTTTCAGACTTGGGCGCTGCATACGGTATGGCTAAGGCTACGGTGGGTATCTGCTCTATGGGTGTGATGCGTCCTGATCTCGCCATGAGAGGTATCATTCCGTGCGTCATGGCTAGTATTCTGGGTATCTACGGTCTTATTCTTGGTTTCATGATTCAACAAGGAAGTAAGTACACCCGGCCGCGAGCACCCCCGCCCCCACGTATGTGATCATTAATTTTGTTTGTAGTGGGCACTCTAACAGAGTACCCCCAAGCGAAAGCATACGCCCACCTGGCTTGCGGTCTGATGGTTGGTTTGTCTTCCCTCGCAGCTGGCCTGGCCATTGGCGTTGTTGGTGATGCAGGCGTACGTTCTTTCGCTCATCAGCCCCGGTTGTTCGTGGTGATGATTCTGATTCTTATCTTTGCCGAAGCACTTGCCCTGTTCGGTCTTATCCTGGCACTGGTCGTATCCATGGTCAACGTCAACAATGCTTGCGTCCCCTACCATGGTTAAATGTCGGTCCTTGGATCTGCGTGCACCACCTCTAGCAGCACGACAAATTTTAAGGCACTTGAAGACCGCCGTTCAATGATTTCCCTGACTGGTCCAAAGGCAGCAGCCAGTCAGTAAATGGGTTTGAGACGGACCACTCTGGGTGAGAGAGAGCCTTATCTGCCTTGGTCATTTGACCCGCTTAAAGATTTTTTCACTTTCGAAACTAACTGTAGAGAATCCATCCGATCGGTAGTCAATTGGAAACCCAGAGCTTGTCGACATGCAGTTGGTTGGGGAGGGAGGCAGAGTCGTTTTTTGTGAGAACCAAAAACGGGATCAAAAATAAAATATGTCATCCACTGATGATCAGTCCATCAACTACTGCGACCCCCACTCGACCTTCTTTGGGTTCATGGGCATTGCCGCAGCAGCTGTCTTCTGCAGTAAGAATTTACTCGAACTGGTCACTACGGATGGAATCAAGCTGAGACTTGTTCTTCTTTCAGACTTGGGCGCTGCCTACGGTATGGCTAAGGCTACGGTGGGTATCTGCTCTATGGGTGTGATGCGTCCTGATCTCGCCATGAGAGGTATCATTCCGTGCGTCATGGCTAGTATTCTGGGTATCTACGGTCTTATTCTTGGTTTCATGATTCAACAAGGAAGTAAGCACACCCACCCTCACCGAGTGGGAAACCGGACCCCCACCGAGTGGGAAACCGGACCCCCACCGAGTGGGAAACCGGACCCCCACCGAGTGGGAAACCGGACTAGCTACCCCCCACACCCCGTATGGGAAGTTCCAGACCCGTAGTTGGTTGCTCACCCGACTCTAATAATGTCTATGTTGTCTCACCACTAATTGTTGATCATTAATTCTGTATGTAGTGGGTACTCTAACAGAGTACCCCCAAGCGAAAGCATACGCCCACTTGTCTTGTGGTTTGATGGTTGGTTTGTCTTCCCTCGCGGCTGGCCTGGCCATTGGCGTTGTTGGTGATGCAGGCGTACGTTCATTTGCACATCAGCCCCGGTTGTTCGTGGTGATGATTCTAATTCTTATCTTTGCTGAAGCACTTGCCCTTTTCGGTCTTATCCTGGCATTGGTCGTGTCTATGGTCAACGTCAACAATGCTTGCGTCCCCTACCACAACTAGAGCCGGTAAATTGAGGCGTATAATTTTAAGCTTGGAGCCAATTTTGGAGAGCTTGTGATACCAGCTAGTCTTCATTAAACATTTCGTGTCTTGGGGACTGGCTTTTTTGAGTTGCGTTCAGCCCACGATCGAGTTGACTTGCACAACAGAGTTGTACTGCCGAGTTGGCTTCGTCGTCTACATCTGTCGAGCGGATTCACTGACCACCGACCTGGTTCTTTTTGCACACGATTTTGACCCATCTGTCTGTCAACCAGTCTGTCTGCATGGACGCCTGTCTGGACCGTCTTTCTCTGGACTCTTCCTCTGTCTGTCGGACTCTAAGTCTGTCGGACTCTAAGTCGAACTCCAGATCGTCTTTCAGATCAGCCAGGAGGTCAGATCAGCCAGGAGGTCCGCAGATCTGCTACTGGCCCGGGTAACAGTTCTCGGTCCCGATGTTTGGTAGGTCCCAACACCTAGCCTAGGATCACAGCATTTAATAGGTACCAGTGCTTGGCAGGGATCGCTCGGTTTTTTTTAAATCGTTTTTGTATTATGTCTGATAACGTCGTTGCCTGCAGCCCACACTCCACCTTCTTCGGATACTTGGGGGTCACTTCTGCAATCGTCTTTGCCAGTAGGACACAATAATAGTCGCACACATTCGTGGCACATGGGTACACACACTTCCTTCCGCTTTTGTAGATGCGGGTTCTGCCTACGGCGCTGCACGATCGGGTATGGCCATGTCCATGACGGGCGTCATGCGGCCAGACCTGGTCATGCGAAGTATTATTCCGGTCGTTATGGCGGGTATCTTGGGCATCTACGGCTTAATCCTGGCCATCATTATAGTCCAAAGAAGTACGACGCGAAAGGGCACTCACTCACTATCCTAACACTCACTCCCACCACTACCATCACTTCTCCGCCTTGCAACTTTTTCAGTGGGCACACCGGAGTCCTACGAGCACTCAGCAGGATTCGCGCACTTGGCGGCCGGACTGACTTGCGGTCTTTCGGCTCTGGTCGCGGGGTGGAGCATCGGCATTGTCGGCGACAATGGAATCCGAGGCGTTTCGCAGCAACCCAAACTCTTCGTCGTCATGATTCTCATTCTTATCTTTGCTGAAGCCCTCGCCCTCTTCGGTAACCTGCCC